AACAGCTTGAAGAGTCCGTATAGCGAGAAATTTTAGATACAACATCCCCACAGCCAACATCATACTGAATGAGGAAAAATTGAAAGCATTCCCACTTACAACTGGAACCAGACAAGGTTGCCATGTATCATCACTTATATTCACTTATGTTCTAGCTAGCTGGAAGTCCTAGCTAGAACAATCAGACAAGAGAAGCAAATCATGGGTATTCAAATGAGGGCAGAATAGGACAAACTATCTCTGTTTGCTAATGATCTGATCTTATATCTGAAAAACCCAAAGATTCCGCCATGAGACTGCTGGAATGGATGAACAAATTCGAAAAGTCTCAGGTTACAAAACCAATGTATGAGTAGCATTCCTAGACACCAACAACAGTCAAACTCAAAACAAATCAAAGACTCAACACCCTTCATGATAGCAACAAAGAAAATAAAGTACCCAGGAATATATTTAAGGAGATAAAAGACCTGTACAGTGAGAATCACAAAACATTGAGGAAGGAAATGGCAGAGGACCTAAAAAAGTGGAAAACCATACCATGCTCATGGGTGGGCAGATTCTACATTGTTAAAATGTCTATGCTACCCAAAGTGATCTATGGATTCAATTCAATCTCTATTAAAATACCAACATAATTTTTCACAAATCTAGACAAAATAATTCTATGCTTTGTATGGAAAAAGAGAAGACTCCATATAACAAAAGCAATCTTAAGCAAAAAGAACAAATTTGGAGGCATAGATTTATCAGACTTCAAGCTATATTACAAGGCTACAGTAACTAAAACAACATGGTGCTGCCAAAAGAACAGAGACATAGATCAATGGAGCAGAGCCAAGAACCCAGGTATAAAACCATTCTCACATAGCCGTCTAATGTTTGACAAATGAGACAAAAACATATACTGAGGAAAAGAATACTTATTCAATAAATAGTGCCAGGAAAACTGGATAGCCACATGTAGAAGACTGAAACAGGATCCACACCTGTCAACTCTGACAAAAATCAACTCACAATGGATAACAGACTTAAACGTAAGGCGGGAAACTATAAGACTTCTAGAAGAAAATGTTGGAACAACTCTTATAGACATTGGCCTAGGCAAAGAATTTATGAAGAAGAACCCAAAGGCAATCACAGCAACAATAAAAATAAATAAATGTGACCTGATCAAATTAAAAAGCTTCTGCACAGCCATGGAAACTATCACGAGAGAAAAAAGACAAGATACAGAATGGGAAAAAATGTTCACATGTTACACATACTATAAAGGGCTGATAACAAGAATCTATACAGAACTAGAAGAAATCAGCAAGAAAAAAATCAAACAACCCTATCAAAAAGTGGGCAAATGACATGAACAAAAAATTTTCAATAGAAGATAGACAGTGGACAGCAAACATATGAAAAAATGCTAAACATCTCTAATCATCAGGGAAATGCAAATCAAAATTACAATGAGATGTCACTCCTCTCCAGTGAGAATGGCTTTTATCAAAAAGTCCCAAAACAATAAATACTGGTTTGCATGCAGAGAAACAGAAAGACTCCTACACTGCTGATTGGACTGCAAACTAGTACAACTTCTGTGGAAAGCAATATGGAGATACCTCAAAGAGATACAAATAGAATTACCATTTTATCCAGCAATTCCATTACTGAACATCTACCCAAAGGAAACAAAATATTCTCTAAAGAAGACATCTACACTCAAATGTTTAGAGCAGCACAATTCCCAATTGCAAAGATGTGGAAAAAACTCAAGTGCCCATTGATACATGAGTGGATTAATAAAATGTGGTATATGTGTGCCATGGAGTACTACTCAGCCACAAAAATCAATGGTGATATAGCACGTGTTGTATTATCCTGGCTAGAGCTGAAACAGATTCTATTAAGTATCTAAGAATGAAAAAACAAGCACCACATATACTCACCATAAAATTGGTTTTAGCTGATCAACACATAAGTGCATATATAGCAATAACATTCATCAGCTATCTGGCAGATGGGAGGGGGGATGAGGGAATGGGTATGTACACAGCTAATGGGTGCGGTGTGCACCATCTGTGGGATGGACACCCTTGGAGCTCTGACTCGGGTGGGGCAAGGGTATATATATAACCTAAACATTTACACCCTCACAATATACTGAAATAAAAGTTTGAAAAATATTTTTAAAAAAGAAAAGAAAATTGTATGCCCAAGATTCAAAGCAGATATTTCCAGATACAGAGTTCTGATAGCACACACTAGAGTAAAGGAAAAAAAGGGCAATCAGACCCCAAGCAGGCCCGCCTGGCAGAGTTCTGACTGCCCAGACACCCAGCAACCTACCTGCATGCTAGAAGAGCCTTACGGGATGCTGACAGTGAAACCTTTTGTCCCTCTTCACAACAAGGCAATCTGGACTGGAGGGTCAGAAGTGCCTAGGGAAACCAAATACCTCATACCTGGGCAGTAAATTTCTGGGGTTTCACAAACCCATCCCTTAGCCTGGAAGCCTGGCTCAGAGGCCCAGGAGATGGGTTACGCCCATGATTCGGCACCCTCTCATGGCTGTCCATTCTGACGTCAAGTCTCTCGAGCCAGTCCTTCCAGACTTACTCTCTGGCTTGCCCTGCCTTGGACCCCTGATGGCCTAATTTTGTTCCTCTTCTCCCTCTGGCAAAAGGAATTGCCCTACAGAGGTTGAGGTCTCTTGGATAAGGAACAAGTTCTTTTGGTTGATAACACATTTACAACCTAAGACAGATTCTAAGGTTAGCCTGAAATACTGTATTTTCTCTTGATATTTCCAAAGAAAAATTTATCTACTATTCCAAGCAATAAGAAAAATGAAGTTAAAAGTATAACATTCTGAGCCAGAGATGTAAAAGCAATATTTAGGAAAGTTAGTCCTTTTTAAATGGAGCTTTAATTTAAAACAGAATAAAAGATTCCCTTGTGAGTTACTGGAAATTAAAAAAACAAAAATGAGAAGATGACTGATATCACACAATGTATCATTTTTGACCAAAATGAAATAAAACCAGAAATGAAAAACAGAAGAAAAACTGACAAATCCAAAATCCAAAAAAGATGTGAAAATTAAACACATTCTTGAACATATTTTTCCTCAAGGATCAGATGATTTGATATTTTTAACATGCCAATGCCACCCACAGTGATGGACAAATTCAATCTAATCATTGTCAAAATCTCAGAGGTTTTTTGCAAAAATATCCTAAATTTTTTTAGAAACTGTGACTAGCCAAATATCCTTTACAAACTAGGACAAAATGACATTGCACTTCCTGATTTCCAAATGTATTACAGAACTGCAAAAGTCAATGCAATGTGGTAATGGCACATAGAAAGTTATATAGATCATGGAACAGAATATAGAGCACAGAAATAAATTCTTATGTACATAATCAAATGGTCTTTCACAAGGTGGCCATGACCACACAATGGGAATAGGAGAGTCTCTTCAACAAAAGGTGTTAAAAATTGAATATCTACATTAAAAATAATGAAATCAGATCAATCCTTTGCATCACATACAAACAATATTTTAAAAAGAGAAAATATTTACAAACATATAACCAATAAAAGTCTTAGAAGAATATAAGTGAAAAATATACCGATATTAACCTTGGTGCTGTTTCCATGGATATGACACAAAATGCATAAGCAATGACAACAAAAAAGAACAGAACAGTGGGACTACATCAAATTTCAGAATTTCTGCACATCAAAGGAAACATTTAGTGAACACCACACCTAAGAAATGGGTGAAAATATTTTGAAATCATATATATGAGTTAATATTCAGAATAAATTATATTAAAAAAGTGAATAACTCAATTATAAAATAGACAAAGAATTGAACTGACACTTTTTCAGATATACAAATGTCTAACAAACATTTGAAAGGACATAGAAAATTACAAAATTTTAGAGAATACAAAGCAAAATCAAAATGAAATATCACCTCACACTTAGAAATATAAAGAAAAGTTTGTCTAATATGTAGAGAAATTGAAACTCTTTTCAAACACTGATTTGGAAAAATGATGCGGATGCTATGAAAAATGTATATATGGCCATAAAAAATTAAAAATAAAAATTAGAGTATGATTCCAATATCCCTATTTGGGGTATGCAGTGCAAGAGCTACAAGATATATGTGCACACCTATGTTCGTTGCAGCAATAGTCACAAAAGCCAAGAGGTGCACGCAACCAGATGTCCCTGAACCAATAAACAGATAGAAAATGTAGCATATATACACAATTCAATACTATTTGGCCTTAAAAAACTTAGGCCACATATGGTGGCTCATGGCTATAAACCTACCAATTTGGGAGGCCAAAGCAGGATGATTGCTTGAAGCTTGGAATTCAAGATCAGCCTGAGTAACAGAGTGCAACCCTGTTTCTACAAAAAAATAGAAAAATTAGCTGGGTGTGATGGTGTGCATCTGTAGTCCAACCTAATCAAGAGGCTGAGGCAGGAGGACTACTTGAGCTCAGATGTTTGAGGCTGCAGTGAGCTATGATGACACCACTGTACCCTACCTCAGACAGCAGATTGGGACCTTGTCTCCTGTCTCAAAAAGAAAAGAAGAAAAGAAAAGAAAACCTATCACACTCTATGATTAAGACTATGTCAACTGAAATAAGCCAGTAACAATGTGACAGACAGTGGATGATTACACTAAATATGATGTATCTTAAGCAGTCAAAGTCACAGGAACATAAATTAGAATGAAGTTCCACAAGGGCTGGAGAGAGGGTAAAATGGGCGGTTGTTACTTAATAAGTATAGACTTTTAGCTGTGCAAGATATAAAGGTAATACAGCATTTGTGTATAACAGCATAAATATAATTAATACTACTAAAATATATATACTTACAAAGACTTATAATAATAAATTGTATGTGTTTTTATCACAATTGATTTTTATAAAAATAATAACTAAAATAAATGGTTATAAAGTTTTTCAGAAACAACCTTCAAATCTCAAAAGTATTTTTCTCTCAAAAAGAGAATAGTCATCAATAAGTACATGGTAAAATTAAGACTATTTCCTTGACTACTCACCTACATAAGATAAAAAAAAGCCATTTAAAAACAGCCAGAAAAAGAAATATGCAAGATCAGCCAGAAAGAAACTTGGGGTAATATTTAAAGAGACATACACATTTATAATTTCTAATAGACATATGACTGATATTTTAATCGAGCCACATATAGACTAAAAGTGTATATGCGGAGATGTAATTTCATATAAAATTATAATGCCTAGGTGAAACCAAACAAAAAACTGATGTCAAGGATACAACCCTGGAAAAGAAACATAGTAATACGGAATTGTAAAATAAGAATAAAATAAATATTTAGATGTTAAATCCTGTGTGCAACATTGCTGTGACATTACAATTTTTTAAATAGATAAATACAATGCTCAACTGTGACAGTCAATCCAAAGATAATTTTCATTATATTATTAATATACTGATTCTATTTTTGAAAAAGTGGAGAAGCAGCAATTAAGCCTTTAGAAGACCCTTACATTTCTAAATAATATAAAATATAAATTTTATAAAATATGACAATGAAGGATATGCAAAAGGAATGTTTGGTGAAAATTATATTATAATTTACAAACAGATTGAAGAAAGTGGATGATAATTCTAATTCCTTTCTGCCTGCATTAAATTTAAACTTTCAGTGAACTTTTTTTTTTTTTTTTTTTTGAGACAGAGTCTCACTCTGTTCCTTGGGCTAGGGTGCCCTGGTGTCAGCCTGGCTCACAGAAACTTCAAACTCCTGGGCTCAAGCGATCCTTCTGCCTAAGCCTCCCAAGTACCTGGGACTCCAGGCATGCATCACAATGCCTAGCTAATTTTTTTCTATATTTTTTTTTAGTTGGCCAATTAATTTCTTTATTTTTAGTAGAGGCAGGGTCTGGTTCTTCCTCAGGCGGGTTTTAAACTCATGACCTTGAGCGATCCTCCTGCCTCAGCTTCGCAGAGTGCTAGGATAACAGGCATGAGCCACCCTGCCTGGCCCACAAGTGAACTTTTTAATAAGTATGGGAAGCCTACTAATTATCTACTCTACTTCTTACATAACATAAAATTCTAGCACATTTTTCTAAATATTTAAATCTACAGAAAATGTCATACAAAAAAAGTGAAAATGTAAATAGAGAGTGAAATAAGCAAAATGGTGGGATAGAAAGACTTCTACTTGTTTATCCCCACATGACAATAAAAATTTGGTATACATCTATAGGCAAAAATGTCTTGTGGCAGTCTAGCTTATTGGGTCACATTTGTAATCTCAGCTACTTGGAGGCTGAGGTCAGAGGATAACTTTGGTCCAGCAGTTTGAGACCAGCCTGGGCAATATGCTGAAACCTCATCTCAAAAAAAGTGCTTTCATGAGAGATTTTGGGTACGAGAAGGAGCTTGAAAAAAAAAATACTGCTAAAGCCCATATTAAAGAGTGGCATTTTGAGAAGGTAGGCCCTCATTGAGGTGGCAAATCTGAGGACCCCAGATTTTGAATACAGATCAGGAAATGGTCCACTCATGTCAACTATGTCAACATCTTTATCTTGTCTGAGCCATGATTTGGAAATGATCCTTCCTATTCAAAGACCTGGAGGGCTATGCCCACTCATAGCCATAGAGACAGGACCAGAGACCTCGGCACTCACTGTGATCTATGACGCAGTTCTGTCACTCAGTTCCACCTGTCTTAGCCACACAGTTCATACCCAGTGCTGCAAACTGAAAGACCCACACAGTGACCTGAAGAAAGCATCTCAGATACTCAGTGGGAGCCACACTCATCCATAAACCTGGCATCAGGCCCAGCTTATGCAGACCCAACTGTAAGTGCCTGCTCCAGAGACCAAAGTCACAAAGGCAATCCAGTCTGCCCACGATTAAGACAGGATTCACAACTACCCAAGCTCCTGATAATAGGCCCATACTAAAGGCAGTCCTCACTACATACCCAGCAGCAGACTTGTGACCCAGTTATAACCCCTTTTATCTGCAAACCCAGAGAAATTCCCACCATCCTGGGAACCCAAGAAGGGAAAATCTTTACCTGCTGAAACTACCTTATAAAACTGGAAGATGTTTAAATACACAACATCAATGCAAACCTATATTATGACCATATTCAATGCTTCCATTTAACATAGTATTGGAAATCCTAGGCAGAACTATTAGGCAAGAAAATTTTTTAAAATGTATCCAAAAAGAAAAGAAAATTTAAAAAGTCAGTTTGTAGAACACATGTCTTCATATATATATAAAACTATAAATACTGTACCAAAAACCTATTTAAACTAAAATATACACTCAGCAAATCTACAGAGTATTAAATGAACACGAAAATATCAGTGTTTCCATACACTAACAACAAACTATTCAATAGAATAAGGAAGCAAACAATCTCATTTATGATAGCCCAAAATAAAGACTTTTTAGCAATAAATTTAACCAAGGAATTAAAAAAAATGTTTACACTGAAAAATGTATTAATGAGAAAAATTGAAAATGACACAAATGTAAAAATATACCATGTTTAAGTATTATAAGAATAAATACTATTAAATTGTCATGTAATCCAGAGTGAAATATAGATTTAATAAACTCCCTATCAAAATTCCAATGGCATTTTTCATAAGAATAAAAAACACACTCCTGGCCGGGCGCGGTGGCTCACGCCTGTAATCCTAGCTCTTGGGAGGCCGAGGCGGGCGGATTGCTCAAGGTCAGGAGTTCAAAACCAGCCTGAGCAAGAGTGAGACCCAGTCTCTACTATAAATAGAAAGAAATTAATTGGCC